TAAATAATGGTATTAAAAAAAAAAAAGAAAAAATTAATTTTTAATACATGAATCCATCTCTTCACCCCCCCAGTTATGGATTAAATAGAACCGTAAGAAGGAGAAAACTCTGAATCACAAACCATGCAGAAGGCTTATGGATATGAAAGTATTGCTGAATTCCAGTAGCATCACAGTACATAAAAGAAGCACTATTTGAGGAATAGCATTCATTTGTAATATAGCTAAAAGTGTTTGTATCAAATAAACGGATATAAACAATGTCACTTCTCATTGGGGTTTTGTAAAAGTAGTCTTGTGCCAAACATTCACTTCAAGGAAGTGCTTATTGATAAAAAAAATCCATTAGAGAGCTGTGTTATTTTTCGTAAGTATTTCTGGAAAGTGATAGAGACAAAGTTTTTTTGAATAGTTTCTGCTTTACGGCATCCTTGTTTTTAAATCTTTTCCGACAATATCTGGAGTCCTCTCTCCTCCCCACAAAGAAAACTATCGAAGAAAAAAATGCTTTTTTGGTTTCTCTATGCAGTAATACTTTCGAAGAATTTTTAGGTTCAAAGCTGCACAATCTGACGTGTTCAGAATACAAAATCTTTTCTTTTAATACCATTAGGTTATTTTTCATTTCTAAATCTTGACAGATGCCGCGAAGCTGATCAGATATAAAATCCCCATTGTCACGTTTATAAAAGTAACGTCAAGTGTCTGCATTCAGAGTACGTTATTTTTCCTCATATAGTTTCCGTTTTTTTTTTTTTTTTTTTTTTTTACTCTTACCTAAAAAGTTTATCTGCTTTTGTTTGTCTTGGCGTTTATTACCGATATTCTACAGGACCATAAATGAGCGCTTTTCTCGAAAACTTTCTCTGGAAATTTCTGCAGGAATTTGGCAGAAAAATAGACAAGGTTTGGAGAGTCACTTAACAAATAATCTAGTAATGGCAATGTCAATATTAACTGTTTCCTTATAAGGAAACATTTGGCGTTCATTGACCGAGCAGCTAGTGCTACTCGAGTTTTTCACTCTCTGGCTATTGGGCAGGGATCGAAGTGTAGTATCTGTTCTCATCGGTTCTCATCATCTCTAACGGTAATAACTGTTTCCTTATGAGGAAACATTTGGCATTCATTGACTGAGCAGCTAGTGCTATTCGAGTTATTCTTTTTTCACCCTCTGGTTTTTGGACAGGGATCGAAGTGTAGTATCTGTTCTCATCTGTTCTCATCATCTCTAACGGTAATAACTGTTTCCTTATAAGGAAACATTTGGCATTCATTGACTGAGCAGCTAGTGCTATTCGAGTTATTCTTTTTTCACCCTCTGGCTTTTGGGCATGGATCGAAGTGTAGTATCTGTTCTCATCATCTCTAATGGTAATAACTGTTTCCTCATTAGGAAACATTCAGCATTCATTGACCGAGCAGCCAGTACTACTCGAGTTTTGCTTTTCTTCACTTCCTGGCTTTGGCTGGGGTATTTTCAAAATAATAAGCTTAAACGCTTCGAGAGGGAGAGTGGTTAAAACCCGGCGCCTGAGGCGTCCTCAAATAAACGATGTATCGTCGGGGCATTAACAATTTTCAGGGTATTGTCAATAAACACAATTTAAATGTCGACATTGTCACATTCTGGATAATAATGTGGGATGAAAGTGTAGTATCCGTTCTCCTAATCTCTAATGACAATGGTGTATATTAGCCGTTTCCTTATAAGGAAACATTCGGTATTCATTGAACGAGCAACTAATGTTGGTTGAAATTTGTAAAGATCTTTCTCTTAAAACAATTTTTCATGTAAATAAGTTTCTCAAGTCCAGTAACTGTTATCGCTCCTTCCGTTATTGACGGAAGTTTCCTTCCTAACCTTTGGTTTGAAGTATAGTGGGAGGTCAACGTCATGATTATGTTATTATTTTCTCTTATATCTATTATCCATTTTAGTTGCTTCTACTGTTTTTAATTCCTCAAGGGATGTGGTTTCTGTTATTTGGTACAGTTCTTTGTTTATTTGAAATTCTATAGCTCCAGTTCACGAAGTTCGATGAGGTACGGTCCTAACTAAAATTCTACATAATTCATTCGTTTGAAGCCATTTTTAATCATGTGATGTTAGAAAGCTGTTGGCGCCATTCATGGCACCCATTAGCAAGGCTTTAGGCAATGTGTCGAGAAATAATAACTTTTTATGTTCATATTGTTCAAGCAATACGATAATCCCACGTAACGCAAAAGATGAGTGGGGAGTGGGGAAGAGAATGAGAACTCTTTAGAGAGGAGAAAGGTCAATAAAAGAACAGGTTCCAACAGGACAGAAGATGACAATTGACGTTATATTTAAATTTTTGAAGATTGTTGGTGGCAGGGAGGCAAGTAATAGGAAGAGAGTTCCACAGGTGAAAAGTACGAGAAAAAAACTAATATTATACAACTTATGGTTACATCTTGCTATTTCAATAGAGACTAATTTTACTAAGAGGTTATTTAATGCCGACAATATTGCTGGTAACATTTTACCCCAGAAATGTATTGCTGGTAATAATGTATTGCTGGGAATAATTTTTCCTCAAAAAATTTATTGCTGGTATTAAAACATATTTTTATACTTTCATGGTGTTTTGACCACGCTTTGGGATTAACTATTTGCCAATAGCTGGGACCGTAACAGGTGCTACCACCCCAGGTCAGGGTGGACCTGGGAACATCAGCAACCAAGAGACGGCTCCATGCACCTCAAAACCCCCTGATCATAGGTCTTGTTGTTGGTCGTAGTTTATCGTCTTACCCAGGACACAGACGTAGTTTATCGTCTTACCCAGGACACGGACGTAGTTTATCGTCTTACCCAGAACACGGACGTAGTTTATCGTCTTACCCAGGACGGACTTACAGGAAGTGTGGATTTAGTAAATAATAAACACTTCAAATACATTTGTGTATGGATCATATTTAGCAGAGGAGTTACGGAAATTGGACATAGATTAACATCCGCTAGGAGGTTGTTTCGCCGAACACCGTAAATTTCTAAAAAACCAAAACATTAACCTGAAAACTCGACTCATGTTCTTAAATAGCCTCGTCAGGTCAAGACTTTCATATGGATGCCATACATGGCGCCAAACCCGTACAGAAATATTTAAACACTCAGCTACATATAGTCGGTGTCTAAAATCCATGGTTAAAAATGTCTTTGACCTAGTAAAACATTTGGAGATTGGTGAAAACAACATTTCTTCGAACCTTGTGAACTGGCGTTACAGAGTCACAAACAATGAAATGTACCAGATAGCAAAAAACAAAAAAAACAACAAAAAAACAAAACAAAAAACAAACAAAAAAAAACACACATTATTTGAGAATTTCAACAGAGGGAAAAAATAAAATTCCATACTATTTTAAACAAATAGTTAGTAAGTAAACACCCCATCAATACTAGATAGGAGCTATAACAGCTACTGGATTGCGAAAACTATTTTCCTTAAACCTTTGAACTCTGTCTACCGCTTTACCGGTGGTAGACAAAAATGTCTAGCCACCTGATGAATAGTGGTAGAGAAAAAGGACGTAATGTCCAGCCACTGGTTGAACAGTGGTAGAGAAAAATGACTTAATGCCCAGCGACCGCTTTACTTGTGGTAGGGGGAAAATGACGTAAAACTCAGCCACCGGTTGAACAATGGTAGCGAAAAATGACCTAATGCCCAGCGCAGGTGGGTAAACACTTGTAAATATTTGTATATCTATCGTGAAACATTACCAGTTATTTGCGATTTTTTGACTCAAGAGCTCAAGTAGAATTGTTAAAATTGTTCACGAACGCAGGGCTCAAATGGTTAATCGAAGGATATTTCACTGGCCGATAGACTTCGCAACGGGGGAAAAATCAGACGACTAACTGAAAGTAATCAAATTAATTTTACTTTAAAATAAAGCATATACTTTTAATATTTCTATAATACAATTACTACACTTATTGTTAGTGAAAAATAAAAAGCTTTTTTTTTCATCGAATGATTATGGGAGTTCACCAGTAAAAGATCTATGGTTAAAAAAAAAAAAAAAACGTTGAGAATCAATGTTCTAGACTTTGCCTAAAGAAGCATCACCTCCAAGACTGGAGGAACCGGTCTGTGATACTATTTACACATAGCAGGTGTGAAACGGTGGATGCATACCTTTCCTGAAATTCGAACTCAGCTCCATGTTTCCCCATTCTAAGGCACTATCCTTTTCTACATTGATAATTCCTTAGTTGAAGAATTTGAATATTATTACGTAAAAATTCACAGATTAGTATCAACCAGTGAAATATCATTGCGCTTTTTTAAATTTATTAATTACTCACATATTTTAAAATGGTTTATTGTGAGTTATTTTACAAATATACATAAATGTTCCATAGTATTTACCGGTGGTAGAGAAAAATGACTTCATGCCCAGCCAGCGGTTGAACAGTGGTAAAGAAAAATGATTTCATGCCCAGCCACCGGTTGAACAGTGATAGAGAAGAAGGACTTAAGGCCCAGCCCAGGTGGGTAAACACTTGTAACTATTTTTATATCTAACGTGAAACATTACATACCAGTTATTTGCGAATTTTGACTCAGGAGATCAGGCAGAAGGGTTAAAAATTTTCAGAAGCGCACAGCTTAAAGGATTAAAAACTGTTTTACAGGAAAGTTTTTATAAATTTCAACCTCCAGTAGTTCAAGCTGCTCGATCAATGAATGCTGAATTTTTCTCTATAAGTTGATTGATTGATTCGGTTTCTACGGTTTATCAACCAATTACAGGTTATTTAAAGCCAGAAAATATATGTAGATTGAAAAAATCTTTTTGAGATAATAATGGTTTGGTGATACACGTCCTACTAATTAACCCATAGCTGGGGGAGAAGAGGTGGATTCATACATTTTCTAAGTGAATATAACGAACAATAACGGGAATTGGAACTCGGCACTCTGATTAACAATAGTGAGCCATTATACATGACACATCCAATCTTACAGCACATGGAATTCCCAAGTGGCCAAGCATCTTGGTATTGACCAGGCTCGACGTTACTTAACTTCAGTGATCGTACGAGAAGCGGCATTTGAATGTGATATGGACGTAAGCCTTTTCCCTATAAGGAAACGGCTAATATTACTATGATGAAGGATTTTTTCGCAGTAACATCTCCTGTTGTATTGATTAGTGACTTGTAATTGGTTGCTTTTATTAAATCATAATTCTCCCTGCGATATCTATCTATCTATCTATCTATCTATCTATCTATCTATCTATCTATCTATCTATCTATCTATCTATCTATCTATCTATCTCAGTCTATTCATATCTATCTATCTATCTATCTATCTATCTATCTATCTATCTATCTATCTATCTCAGTCTATCCCTCTCTCTCTCTCTCTCTATCTATCTATCTCAGTCTATTCATAGCTATCTATTTCAGACTCTATTCATAGCTATCTATTTCAGACTCTATTCATATCTATCTATCTATCTATCTATCTATCTATCTATCTATCTATCTATCTATCTATCTCAGTCTATTCATATCTATCTGTCTCAATCTATTCATATCTATCTATCTATCTATCTATCTATGCAAACCACATGTATTTTGGGGTAGTTATAGATATATAAAGATCTTCTGATGAGATATAGAGATATATATTTCAATTCGGTACCCGTTACTGACTTTGATCTCGGGTGGAATGAAATTTTCTTCTCCCGTAAAAAATAAAAATGACGAAAAAGGTAAAACATTTATGACATTTCACGTGAATCTATTACATTATTTTAGTGAAATGCTTTTTTACAGGTGATTCAAATATTTACAAGTTCTATTTTAAAACAAACTCATTATAAATTTATTTTCCTTTCCACTTTCACAATACAACGGTAAAATGTCATTGTGACATTGCGTGTAAGCTGCAGCCTGTTTTTATTGGGTATATCAAAATATACTAAAATTATATACCTTTCTAAAATCTGTCTATTTATTCATTTATATATCTTCTTTTATCTGTTTGTAACGATATTTTTACTACCCCCTCTCCGTGTATATATAATATATATATATATATATATATATATATATGAAGAAATATAGTCCTGAGGTGTGCTATATTTATGAGATAAAGTGGTCAATATCAGAGATAGAGCGTGTGTAAATATAAAAGTGAACATAGAAGTCAACACTTAGAGGCGATAGTCTGTCTCATGCTAGACGCTATCGTCTAAGTTTTGACTTCTATGTTCACTTATATATATATATATATATATATATATATATATATATATATATACACTGTTGCATTAGAACATGTAAGCAATTACTACGAAATTGTACATTTTGTTTCGACGCTTAAATAAAACGTCTCTTCAGGTAATTAACAATGATACTAATAAATGATCTTATTTAAAATTGCAATTTCTGAAACGTGACTTATTTTCCGTTTTGGGAAATTTTTCCATACAAGGTGAAAAGGATTTTTATAAAGAAAAAAGGAAAGAAAATAAGAAATCAACAAAAGGAAAAAGTAAAAAGGAAAGAAAAGAAAGGCAAATGCAACCTGCTGAATTTAATTTCTTGCATTATTATGGGAAAGAAGTGATTTAAGTGATTTTAAAGTTTTCGTGGTAGTTTGTCCCAATCGGATATTTCAAACAGTGCTGATCTGCAAGGATTTTCGCGTACAAAAATCTCTCAGAGAACGCACGACACGTCGAACTCTGGGCTATAGTGGCAGAAGACTCTTTTGCCACACTTGTCAGATAAGAATAAGAAAACAAGGCTACAATTCGCCAAAGATAACAAAATTTGGACAAATGAAGATCGGAAAAACGTTTCCTGATGATAAATCTTGATTTCCCGTGTGACATTCGGATAGTAGGGACGGAATTTGACTTTATCAACAGGAAAGTATGGATACTTCCAGATTTGAAACAACGAGTTGGGAGTGATAGAGTAATAGTATGCGGGATTATTTTCATGGTATACATTGGGACACTTGGTACCAAAAAAGAGATCGTTTAAATGCTACGGCCTTCATGTACTGCGTCCCTTCAGGACATAGGTGATCACGTCTCTCCATAATTTCCTTTGTAGCACTTAATAAATTTTGACTTTTTATTTCTCCCAAAATCTATTTCGCCATCCATTTATTTAAATTTATTAAGTATATTATACGTTGCTCTCATCACGCCATCTTGACTTCAATCTGTCCTGTGAGTATTATATTTTCCAAGCTCTCTTTCCTCATTACGTGTGCTAGAAACTTCAGCTATCTCTTCCTAAGTATAAGTTTTTTGTTTCCATTTTCTCTAGTCCGTAGTTGTTCACATATTCGATCCATGGTATTCCCAGCATCCGTCTGTAAAATCCCATTTCTGTTGATTCAAGTCTTTTCTTCATCTGTGAGGAGATGGTCCATCATGACTGCGATACAAGCATTCTCTTGTGGTCACTTCCAGTAGGACAACGCAACGTGTCACAATTGCTTAACTGATTGATTGCTATTATATGTCTTATCCAGCGTTTGCAACTTGCTTTTAGATAGTAAGAATTTTCTGAGATTATAATGGTTATATATATATATATATATATATATATATATATAAGTATAAGTTATGAAGAACTTGGTAAACCGAATTGGTAAATCCAAGGAGGATGAAATCCTGAGAGCTTAATGTAAAGAACAGAGCTAATATTTAAGTGTTAATATTTAAGTGTTACCTGATGATCGAAATCCTTTAAAAAGAATTTTGGTGAAATAAATTATTGCAATGGTACCTTAAAGTGTCTGTTTTTCATTAAATTATATATATATATATATATATATATATATATATGAGATAAACCTAAGGAGCCAGGCAAACCTACCTAGGTTTCACCGAAACGGATCGTCAGCGTAATGCTGAGTACCACCAAGCGAGTACCATCATTTATATATATACAGGGTGATCCAAAAGTAGGTGAACTGTATATGGAATAGGTTTATGTGTCGGTTATATTATTACAATTGAGTATCTTGATGAAACCTTTCCTGTGAAATAGATTGGCCAAAGAGGTGAAATTGGATTGGCCGGCACGTTCACCAGACTTGACCCCCAATGGATTTCTTCTTTTGAGGAGTACTCAAGGACAAAGTTTATAGCTGAAAACTAAGAAGTGTCGGTGATTTGAAAAATTACATAAGAGATGCATTTCAAGAAATTAATACCCAAAAAGACTTGTGCAAAAAGTTTGTCGAAGCTGTGTAAATTGGGATGGAAAACAGTTTGAGCACATGCGTTGATGAAATTTAAGGGCTTTTGTATTATTGTTCACAATAAAATTTAACTGTCAATGTAATAATTGTGTTAGTAAATATAATTGTATGTATATGTAATCTCAAAATAAATGTAATTATTTACTGTCCACCTACTTTTGGACCACCCTATATATATATATATATATATATATATATATATAGAGAGAGAGAGAGAGAGAGAGAGAGAGAGTGTAAAGCCAGAAATGCTGTCAATCAATGTAAGTCTGAAAGAATGGAAGAATGGAGACTGAAAGCAAGTAGTCTTTGCAATAATGCTTGAGACAGAATATTAATAGGATACAAAATATAAAATTTGTCACCATTTTCTTTATCTTTCTTTCTCAGTAGGTAATTGCATCTTAGTGACATTGTCCCACTGTCCTTATATATATATATATATATATATATATATATATATATATATATTATAATTATTTAAAAAAATGTTATTCCTTCGCTACATAAGAGTTATCATGTTTCAAAAACAAGAGCCAAAAACCTCAATATAATTATTGAAATTAAATTGAATTAAAGTATCAAGCCCTGTGTTATGTCCGGTAAGACTTGTTATGGTCCGGTTCCTTGTACCACGGTGGGAGTCCAAGGTAGAACCAATAAAGAAGAACTCGAACACGGGTATGGAATAACACAGATATATTCCAAACAGGAATATATATAGAGAAGTAGAAGTGTTAGTATGAACAATCAGGTTTAGTAGAGAGAACAATGTAGTCTCGACCAGTATCACTATTCCAATGTCTTGTAGTAATTGTCTGAACGCGACTCTGTTTCAGCCTGCCTCTGACTCGACTCTTGACTCGACTTGAATTACTGACTCCCGCCTACTGACCGAGGCGCAGAATTTATTAAGTATGGAATAGTCCATTATTATTATTATGGGTAAGATCCCATAACACCCGCATTCAGTAGCTTTCCAAAGGTTCAGTGAATTTTCTTTTTCTTGACGATTTTCTTGGTTCTGGCATTGTTTGCGGTCTTTTTATATCGAATGTGTCGAAAATCGTGTCCAATACTTCTTCTTGAGGTGGACCGTTAGCATCCCGTAACGGTCTCTTCCTTATTTGGTTTACGTGTCTTCTGTGTGAGAATTTTGTTCCTTGTACTATGTACATCATATTACCAATTCTTTTCTCAATTATGCCTTGCTCCCAGTAAGAGGTATTATTTTTATATGCCTTAAAAATACTTTTTCTCCTAGGAGGAATTTTTTTTTTTGGTGCGTAGGATTGTGTTACTTGTTTTGATTTACTTGGAAGTAATTTATCGAACGCTGATCTGATTTTCCTAGAAAACATGACTTCTGCTGGTGATAATGTTGATGGTGTAGAATTATTTAGCGTTATTCTAATTTCTGTAATGCTTTCTCCGCAGGCACATCGTACGCTTTTCGTATCGCTCTTTTGAGTGTATCCAAGAATCTCTCCGCTTGTCCATTTGATCTTGATGGGTAAGGCGGGGATTTTATATGTTTTACTTGATAAATTTCGCAAAACTCTTGGAAGTCTACTGACGTGAATTGTGTTCCATTATCTGTTACTAAGCAGTCCACTACGGCAAACCGAGCGAATAGCTCGTGGAGGAAATTTATGGTAGTTTCTGTAGTAGGATTTTTGCAACGAAACACCTCCGGACATTTACTGTAGCTATCAACTATGATTAAATAGTAGAACCCCTCAATTGGTCCTGCATAATCTGCGTGTATTCGTGACCATGGACGATCAGTCTCTGGCCAAGGCGTATGTATGATTGGCGGTGCTTTGGCTGCTAAATTACA